AGAAACTGAGCCTTCAAACGAGCCGTCAGGACTTCCGCATCTTGTGATGTCACAATGAAGCAGTGACTGCCATCAGCCATGCCCCAAGCCCCGCCCACTTTGACCCAGCATCCAACAGGATGCAGGATTTGGTTTCTCTGACTGTTTTACCTGAAAGCTGCTATATTTTTATTCGATCACTCAGAAAACAGCTCAGAGCCTCTCTTCTGATTGGCAGATTGACAGATTAACATAATGAGAAAGGAAATGTTTTTGGATGACTGTAAACATCCACTTTGCTCATATCTCTTACATCAATTCACAATACTCCCAAAATGACCCTTGAAGAATCACAACTGAATCCCTATAGAATCATAGATTGCATTAAGGAAGTAAGACGTACGAGAATTTGACTCACACTCATAGTCTTGATGCATTATGTATTTAATATTCTGTAATCAGTACAGAGTACAACATTATTTATGCAAACCTCAAGCATCTGAACAAACCAGCTTGTCAGGCATAATAAATAAAAAAAAGTTGTGTAAACTATTCTCTGGCACCACTGGAAGTAAACAAGCAGACAGTTGTCCTTGCAAACTCCTGTTAATCAGAAAACAGGGAGGGGTGTGACACTCAGGGCTCCTGCAGCGTGTATCTATCTTTTGGTACTTAGAGAGGCAATAATTACTTTAGGATCACATTTCAGGGTGATTACGCTGCCTATCAGGTCACCATCATTACAGCCCTGCACACATCCTATATGTCCTTTTCTTTAAAGCCCTCTAAGCTCTGCTTGGCTTACATAATTGCCTCTATCTAAAACCTATGACTTAGCTATGGCACTTTAAACTGATTGGGTTTGTTTATCCCCGGCTAAACTCAGAACCCTTGATAATCTCTGCAGAAAAAAAGAAGATAATATCTCATGTCTGCTCATCTCTTCCCTTATCCAAACAAGCTCCGTTTGTCTCCCTGAGCAATAACACATTGCTGGCCTAGATAAATATGACCCACGTCCCACACTAACGCAAGGAGGGCTGGGAAAAACACACACGCAGACCCACATGTATACCCACATGCCCATTTGGTGCATATATAAGCACAAAGACACACATTTCCAAGCAGACAATGGCTGCAGACACAGTGGGATACTGAGCCTCTCACATTCACACAGATGCACGCTCACAGATAGACTCTCCAAGGTCTGACACATTAAGACAGAAGTCCTTTAATGGCGGTAACAGGGACAAACAGCAGATTATTGCTTAAGGAAAAAAGCAATGAGCAGCGACTCTCCGTTGTGGTGTTTTAGTAAAGCAGCAGGCGGGCACATTCCAGGACAGCTGCCAGAAACAACCCAGTACCAGAGAGCAAGGAGAGAGACCGGCCGTACGGGGAACCACAACTGTGTTCATTTGGCTCCTCTTCCACTGCCACAATAACAATGGTGACATTGCAAAACTAGCCACATAATTAACTTGTGGAAAGTAAACTGTCAGGAATATGAATCGTTGTCTTCAACTTAATTTTAAATAAGCATTATATCCCCCCCCCCCCCCCCCGATAAAGAGAAGCTGCGTTTGATGGATTGAGGTCATTTAGATAAAAAGCCAGAATCGCTGTCATGCTGCATCTTCTCTCATCAACCCTCTAATATAATATGGGACACAAAGGGTTGGCGTATTTAATAAATGAAATCATTCTAAAGCTCATTTCTGATACTAAATGACTCCAAAATAAAGTTTTCATTGAGATAACACTGCGGTTCACCAGTCTGGAAACACAACGAGAATGTGTTCCCAGATGTTCAGACTTTAAAGTCAACTTTTCAGAACTTTTCAGATATATTCTTTCAACACTTCACAGTGTTTTCACATGTCAATGAGGATGAAAGTGTCAATTACATCTGTAAATTAAAGAACAAAAAGTGCTTGATGGATTTGTCAATACTTGTTAACACATTTCAGAGCCGGATTGTCAAATTTAATTTTGTTTCGAGCTCAGCACACACTGTTCCAGTTTCTGCTCCCTGGTCTCAGCCTCACTCCAGACTCTGCCGGGACACTGAGGTGGAGACCGCGAGGTGTTTATTGTGCAGGGAGCAGAAATCGAATAGGGGAGAGACGTTTGCGTTTGAACTGTTAAAACCAAAAGCGAGTTAGCCGCGCTGCGTGAGTGCCCATCAGATGTCTCAAAATTTCCTTGATCCGGAAAACCAAAGTCCTACTGTGAGCCACAAAACAATGTGGTCACTCTGGTATCTTTGCTTTCATGCAACACACCTGCTGTGAGAAACTATTCTATCTTCAGGCAGGATCACGCTCTTTGCACTAAACTCCAAGTAAAAATAAAAAGTCCAGACTTTCTTCAACTTTCTTTATCCTGTTTGAAGATCTCATTCAAAATCACTCTCAATTTGTCAAAATGAATTTTCACAGACGGATACGCAATTTGTTTTGATTGTTGGTGTTTATTCTCCTGTGTCATTATTGTTTATTGATGCCTCACTTTTTTATTCTTTATCACATGCTTGTTATTTGTTTCATCATAAAGCTCGGTGTAAACACGCAAAGGTTGCTCATTATAATTTAGTGGTTGGAAAAGGACCCAGAGGCAGCGCTGCTGTGAGATGCAGAGGTCAAGCCAGACTTTTACACCATATCAAAGGATACACCCCCAAGACGAGCAAAATGACTGAATAAATTCATGACCGAACACTTTAACAAATTAACTTCACTTTAGACAAGACGAAATACTTCTGGTTACGTCTGTCATTAGGAGACACTGACATCTGGTACCATCTGATAGTTACTATAGACTGACAGTGAATAAATAAATGATCTCAAACGCACTCAAAGAGCCAATAGCTCTGCCAAGACTACACAATCCTCTCTGTGATTTTTTCATGAAAGTTAATCTCATTTTCAGGGGCAACCTGATGTTGAGTGTGCGCACCACATGGGCTCAAATGCCCTGAACAGCGAGTCCCCGGTTCGACTCCCGGCCAGCTGGACCATTTGCTGCGTATCATTCCCCTACGCTCTCTCCCTGCATTTCCTGTCTGTCTCCACTGCTGCCATCAAATAAAAGCATAAAATGCCCCTGAAAAAAGAGAATCTGGAAACATTGAACGGAGAGAGACGATCATGGGAAACGCATGGCTGGTTTTTCCATTGTAATAAGTGAAGTAGTTTATAAGAAAACTACAACAACAAAAAAAAACTGCAAAAATTGTTCATGTTGCAGTTTTAAAAAAATGAATTTTTCCACCAAACTTTATTGAAATCTGGTCCAACTTTTTCTTTTTTTTTTTAATGTGGTCACTCACTAACTAACAAACATCTGCAGCTGAACACATCTCTGGTGGAGGATTTAGTGACTTTCAGGATCCATGACATGACTAGATACGGACACACTTTCTGTGCACTTCACCTGATTTCCTTGCCCTTATTGAATAGATTACACCAAGGTCTCCTACTGCACTGAAGCTCTAGTGATGTCCCTCACTTTGGATAAAAAGTCTGCCAAATGAAATGAACGCTCCTGTGCACAACTGGCTTTCATGCTTTTGGCCCCATACTTCCAATAAAGGGATAAAATGAGATTTTAGAAAATAGTGTGTTTCCACCTTTGAGGTAACAGTTTGTTTCAACATGGCAGACCCTCCCTGCACAAAGCCACGTCCACAAAGAACTAGTACCCCCAGTTCACTGTGAAGGAACTGACTGGCCTTTAGGATGGAAATAGCAACTTGCAACGCGGGGCTTTATCACCAAGGATCAGTGGCCGATGGAACTAATGCTCCTGTGGATGAATGAGGAGTGGAGGTTGTCATAGCAGCAGGTTAATGCCCATGGTTTTGGAGTGGGTGTAAAAAAAAGTGTCCAAATACTTTTGTTAAGCTGTCCACATACTTTTGGACATATAGTGTCGATTACACTCCAACTAATCCAGTCTAATACATGTCATAAATCTCGAGTCCATGAAGGTTATCATGTTCAGATTTGTTGAAACTGTTGGAGAGGCGTTGATTTCACTTTGTGGTCACGCGAGACTGCGAGCAGCTCATCACCACCCTTAGGTTGGCGTTTTTGCTGAGCAACGTCTAGCCGTCGTGTGAGACAGCATCAGTGTTTATAAAGCAAATGCTGTTAAATAGCAATAATGTCACACAATCGTTATCTGAGTCGGTCACTGTAGTTTCCGTCAGCGCTTTCAGAGCGTCAGCTAAAGACCGATGTTGCCAACGTGAAACAAGGAGGATCATATTAAAGATAAAGAGTCGGGTAAATGCCTCACACTCACTGTTCAGGCTGCAGCAGCATTACTACAAGATCTCAGCGATCATTATCATTTGATTCAAAGTCAGAGGTTCTGGTGGAAACCTGGTGAATCCTCTCGTCAAACTGTTGGCTACAATAAATCAGCCTCCCGCTCTGTTTGGCGAGAGCCTGGTGAGGATGAGCATGTGGAAACACAGCTACAGATGTGTGTTCCTGTTTACACTGAGCGGGAGGTAATTGAGGAAGTCTGGCTCTCTCTTCAGGAGCTCTCTGTTGCTCAGTAGGAGTTGTGTTACCACTGAACTTAACATCTCACATCTCTCTCCTGCGTTCTCTCACTCTCTCTTTATCTCTTTTCTCTCTGTCCTTCCCCTTCTTCCCTCTCTCTTTCATCCGTGAGAGAAAATATCTGCTACTTAGCGGGAAGGATGCCATGTCAGCCTCCCCCCTGGAAGAGCTGCACCAAAGAGGCAACTAGATTCTCTCTTCTTCTCCACCACAACAGGAGAGCTCAGTTTCCTATAGCTTCATCCAGGGGAACTGTGTTGCATCTGTCAGCAACACCTCCTTTAACCTCCATATCAGAAGACGGCGGGGGAGCAGCTAAGTCGACTCCCATGTGCATTAAAGCATGCAAATGAGTTCATCTTCTGCAAACTCTCCCAGAAAGCTCAGAGCACATTCAGTATGCAGAGAATTTTTTTTTTCTTCCTCTCCACACCTGCTTATCCTTACCTGGAACTGGCCGGCGTAGTCATCGTCTGTGGTGCCCTCTCTGCCCTCCTTCAGCGCGATGAGGGTGAATCCTCTGAAATAAGCAGGGCTGGTTGCCAGGAGGACCACTGTGGAGAAGCAGAGAGAGAGTGTGTGTGTGTGTGTGTGTGTGTGTTCAGTCCACAGACACAACGAGAGGTAAAGAGACTTTACACTGACACAGGGGTCACCCCATGATGATGTGAAGAGACATATGTATGAAAGCCGCAAGCCTGTTCAGCATCGGCGTGATGTGGAAGAGTGAGGGGCTGTAAACAAAGGCTTAGCATCTAACAGTAGAATTGAAAAGAGGCTATAAATCTCACGCAGGGAGTTTAGTGCAGGGAGAACAGGCCAGGAATGGGAGCCATATAATGAGATGTGGGAAGGATTTTATTCGACTCACCTTCATGCCCTAACCTTGCATTTTCATACCAGCCCATTTATCTTAAAACTTGCCCCCCAGCACTGAGAAGACAGATGTCAATATTTTCAATCTCATCCGGTTCTTAAAAAACTTAACTTATGCGTCACATAAAGGCTACGAAGGCTTGGGAAATAACTTCCTTTCCTTTCCTGTGGTGGTGTCCTTCACAGGTCCCTGGTAGCTGATTAGAATTTAGCCCTGGATTGCTAAAATGTGGTGTCGCGGCCAAAAAAATTGCAAGATCAGGAGTATGATCTCAGTGGGGAGATTTTAAGACAAGGTGACCTTTGATTTTCATCCTTGTTCTTGACGCCTGTATCAAAACTGTAGTTTGCCAGGTCTTATTATTGTATTACTGAAAAATCCCACCATCCTCCCACTGGATTTATGTCAATCATTATGAATATACTTTGGGTTTAAGACGAAGAGAGGGTAAAAGTTTTGTATTTTGAACTGAAAACCACTTAGTGCTCACTTCTAAACTCATCAAGAATCTCCACGAGGAGGCCAAAGGTCTTTTTTTATGAGGCCAAATCTACCAGACAGGATAGGGACTAAATTTGTAGGGGTCAGCTTAATTGGAGCCATATCTGTGTGTGTGTGTGTGTGTGTGTGTGTGTTGTCCACTTGCTTGCAGGAAGAGGAGAGGAAGTGAATATAGGTCAGACATTATAACACTAAGTAGCCTTATCAAACCGCTGCTCTCCCTGCAGAGTAGGCAGGCTGGATAGTTTGGAAATTGCAGCCTCCAGGCTGCAATTTCTAATAAAAATTAGGATTATTGTGCTTATTACTCATAATGTTTGCGAGTACATGGTGGCTGGATATGCTCAAGCTCTCTGGAAATTAAAATAAAGACAGAGGGAAGAAATTTCAGGGTGCACTTTTCTTTTTTCTCCAACTAAAATAAACAGTCCACTTGTTAAATTTTGCGCAGGTTTACGCGCGTAACGGGCAAATGGACAAAACAAACTCTACCTCTGTAGGTCCTGCCAGGTTGGTAGGTTTCCGGGTCCCCCTCCACTCTGAGCCTGAACTCATGGTGTCCATCCTTCCGGGTCCCATGGGTCGGCGCCCGGAGGATCCGCCCGCAGTACCCGTCCGACCTGCCTCCGGAGGGCTCCTCCACGAAGGCGACGGCGTTGCATACAAAACTCGTGACGAAATAGTACTGCAAGAGCAGCAGATGCAAATACATTCCCATCTCGGAACTGCAGCCCGGAGATGAGAGTACAGTGGCAGTCCAATCAAAAAGAAAAAAAAAGCCAGTAGTGGAAAGGCGAAACAGCGGAGAGAGGATCTGCTCCTTCCGCACAAACTCCCACCAAACTACAGCAGCGTCACGGTCAGTGAGAAAGGTGAAGGCAAGGAGACGGAGACGAGCCCATCCTGAACTAGAAAGAGCGCGTCTGGGGCGCACCACGGTGAAGCGGAGAGAGGCACTGCTGCTGCTGTTTCCGGATCAGTCTGTGGTGTTGACAGAGCCTGGAAGCAGCGGGGGGCCGCCAAATAACCGAGCGCGGGTGCACGCGGCTGTCTCCTTGACTTGAGGCGAGGGAAGGTCCAGACTGGAGCTCCGCACTTTAATAAGAGCCAGCCCTCCACTAATACACACACACACACACACACACACACACACACACACACACACACACACACACACACACACACACACACACACACACACACACACTGTCTATGGGAATCTCACACATGGAGCTGCCCCTTGGGGGAAAAATCCAAATGTTGAGCCTGCTGCTCAAATACGACAACACATTTAAATTCTCTATAAACTGCCGGTTGCACGGGAGCTGAAAGACATCAGGGAGTTAGATCTGTTCATTACAAATTCATAAGTGAGTCGCATATTTACATTAAAAATAAGCAACAGAATTTGTGTTTATTCATCCTCATCTCCTGTGCGCATTTACGCATTTTTGTTCCAAGATTAAATCACCGCATTTTCATGAACGAATCAACAAAGACTAACATTTCATTTCACTGAAAGACACGATGAAGTTAAATAACGTCAGTAGAAACTCCACAGTGCCCACATAGTTTGACCAATTGGTCCTGTCCTGTGCGTATTCAGGCACTTTCTGGTGCGACGTTGTTCCACGAAAAAATGCACAAGCACAAGAAATGTATGTGAGGAATATGAAACAACTGGTGCGCTTTCTATACAACACAGAGGCAGCACACAGTCTGCTACCTGCACCTCTAATGAGGACAACAGACAACCTTAAATGTTGATTAAATGTTGATCAATTGAATTGCTTTCTTAATGATAAATCATTTCAATCTTAATAAACCTTATACAAAGTAAGTTGTATCAACATGTGCTGTCATTTCATTTGATAGTTTCCTTATTAAATGCAGACTTCTCTATATGGAGATCTGCTGTATGTGAAGCGCCCTCAGTTTTCCTCACATCTCCTCACACAGACTATAATCCATTGTAAACGCTTTTGCAACATAGTCATGCACTTACACTAAAAGACAGTGTTTCTTGGCCAGCAGGTGTCGCCAGAGTGTGTTTGCACCTTCAGGTCCTCTACAGCTACTTAGTAAATTTGTCACTCTCCTTATCACTGCTCGCCTTTACTCCTCCATCTCCTCCTCAAGTTTTATTATAGTGTAGAGAAAAAAGTACGATGGATTATGGAAATGCAGAGGTTTAAGTTCTCATATTGAATGTGTAGTTCGGACTCAGCTGAAGCAATAAGTTGAAGTTTGATGATATTTTGATCCATTTCCTTTTTTTAAATGTATCTTGTTCCTCTACAGCATTTTGTAATCTTCTTGTTATTCTGGATGCATTACAAAGAAACTTGCACAACTTTGATGAACTAGCCTTTCCTTGTTTATCTAAAACATTACAATTATGATTTACTTGTGCTTTTAGGTAACAAATGTGTGTTTATGATGAAACCTCACTGAAATGAGCTTCATCAAATAAGTTTTCAGCAAACTGATTTGTTCAAGTTTTTGCGTCCACATGCCAAATGTGTGTGTGTGTGTGTGTGTGGATGTGTGTGTGTGTGTGTGTGTTAGTGTCTAAGCTGGGGAGAGTTACCTTCGTAGCTGAGAACACTTCTCAGAGCAGGAGATGGTTAAACTAAACAACATCAGCCTGGATGTCACAGTGTGATAGATCCCATCTGGAGTGACTCTGCACTATAAACTGTCTGACGGATGGCTGACGTCTGGAGCGTACCCTTGACCGAGACATGGAGTCAGAAACAACCCGCTGACCTTTCAAAATGAATACAACCTGTTTGCACACCAGCCAGTAACATTCCTGCATTAAAACATCCAACTTTTTTCCTCCAGCTTGAGGAAATCAGTGTTGGTGTGAAATCTTCAAGTCTGTCCTCCTGAACTTCATGTGCTGATTTTTCTTTTTTTTTTTTTTCATTCAGCTTGCTGGCTCAGTGTAGCTTTCTCTTATTAACTATTTCCTCTTACACATACATCTTAAAAGAATTAACTAGAGTACCAGTATGAAATTAATGTCTGACTAGATCCTGTTTCTTTGTATAAAATCCTTGCTTTTTCCGAGTCCTGCAGCCACTCTAATAATATATGCATTTGTCTTTAGTCAACATGCCTGTTTAACTAAGACTTTCATGAGGGTAATAAGGTTCTGATGCAGGAAGCATGGGCCAAAAGGGTGTATTAAATATGAAAATTGCTCCGATCTTCGCGTGTGGAAGTCATTTCCTCTAATGGGCTATAAGGATTCTAAAAAAGCCCTAGATATTGTGCTCAAGTGTGTAATAGAATTTTTAATCATTTTACAAGGCTTTTTTTATTCTGTTCACAGAAGGCATTTGTTTCATTTAGGTCCTTTTTTTCTTTCTCAAGTAATGAAGATGGATTGAATGTATTGAATTGTGTAGGCTAAGTGCTCATTGTTGAAAGGACAGATTCTTCATTTTGTCTTGCAGTTCCACAAACGGTGAAGGAGGGATATTTCACTGAAGTAGAAGTGCCACCACTACATATTGTTACAGTTTTACTCAAGTAATATAAGCACAACAGGAGAGGCTTCAAATACAGCTAAGTGCTTTGAGGCCAATTGTTCACTCGTGAGACAAGATGCCTCATGTTCAGTGTCCATGCTAACTCTGTAGCGAGAAGTGTAAGAGGTTTATAATTGGGAGACTGGGGATGGTTGTAACACGGGTCAGTTGTAGCACTTCCAATTTCTCCAATCAGAAACAAGTTAGGCATCACCTGATTCACTCTATACATGCTCAATTTGGTCCTTATTTCACATATGAGAAAGTAGCACCCTGTGACAGACACAGGCGATTTTAGAGAGAAAAAACTAATTTAGAAGTGAAATAAGCTTTTTTTGTTTTGTTTTGGACAATAGCACTACCTGCTTTATAGTTAAATTCTTCAAACTTATGCTGTCTTTATTGTGAGTCTATGTAGATATTTTTCCATGCTAGTTGTCAGTGCTAGTGTTTTAGCTATTAGCTGTAAGTTAAGCTAGTTCATGGCTACCAGGGTCTGGGTTAGTTCTAACAACGAGGGTCTGGGTTAGCTGTACCAATAATACACATACGGAGGGAGACACACACATATCTCATAAATGTTCAATTGTTGAAGCTGGTGAACATTTGCACATTTTGAGTTCTGACAAAATTGTCAAAAATGTTATAACTATCCCCGGTCTCCCCTTCTAATGTTACAAATACAGAGCTGGTTTGTTGTCCTGCCAGGTGTTGGGTGGGCTGATGTCAAGTCTATACACGTTCAGTACAGAGGCTAGCCCAGTACACGTTAGCTTACTGGTGCAGGGGCCAGAGTCTCCACCAACAGAGGAGAAATATGTCCACTGACTTCAGAGTTGGGATATTTATCCAGCTTACCTCCCGTCGTTTGCCGAGCTGCTCACATAGACCTGCTTTTTGGGCTCATTTCACAACATCTCTTCAAAATCTTCCCCTTTTGCCAAAACTACCAGGACCACTCTTTCATGCCATCACCCTCTAATGAATATCTACAAACTTGCCAAGTAAGCCTAGCTGCATACAATTAGCACTAATCTTGGAACACCGACTGCCCACAGTGAGGACCTAAACATGAGAAAATGGGAGATTTGGCAGGTCTAAGGCTGGATGATAGTTAATTTTAATCACCAACGTCTAAAATTGACAGACTTGACAATGGGTTCCTGACAGAATGAATGCAGCTCTCACATGCAACACCTTGAGCATAATAGACGATTCTCATGGCAGATATTTTGACTTGTTAAAAACAGGTGTATGAAATAGCTTTTATAATTAATGCATCCCATTCAGGTGTGCCAGTACTCCTGCCATTTTGCATACTGGCTCACTGACAAGGCTTACTGGCACATCTAAATGTAACAGAACCGTCATTAATATAACTAGGTACACCTGTGCCTTTCCTGCCACAGTAAGGCCAAATGGTCTGCTTGTTATGCTTTCACAGGAAGTGAACAGAATTTTCATATCGCCACACTGTTCTGTTGATGGTCTGTAAAAGAACCTCAGACGATGCTGGACGCTTCATTATTGATCGGTTGACTATTAATCATCACTGTATGTATTGTATTTTAGTTTTAGCATGTGCACAAGACAGCAAGGAAGTGATTCTGACATTAATCAATCTAATCAGGTGTCGTTGGTGATATCATGGGTAAATCTCATAATGACAACGGTGACTTTTAGAGCTGAAAATGCTCTTTAAGGGAAGAACTCCTCTAAGATCTCATTAAAATTGTCTAAATGAATACACTGTCACAAAGTCTATATCAAAGCTATTTTTGTTACTTCATTAAAAGTTGACATTGTTGAGATACTGCAAATGACTTTCACATGGCAGCAAAGCAGGATCCTAAAGTTATAATATGTAATTTTTGTAACACATTAAAAAGTTCTAAAAATGATAAGAAATATGAACGATATGTTTCATTTGGTCGACTGTCACACAGTTTTAAGCCTCCTTGGTCGTTTCCAACTATATATTTTAAGCAGATAATGGATTTTAGTCATCGCACATCTGGATCTGAAATAATCAGAGAAAAAAAGCTGAGTAAATGTTAAGACGGCTCAGCTCCCAGCCGCAGGAGAAGTCCTGTCCCGATTTCATGACGTCACCCAACACGGTCTTTGGTTGTTGTTACTGTTATCTCACTAAATTGCTGAAATGAGTGCACTGTCACAAAGCATATATCAAGGCTATTTTTTCCATTTCATTAAAAGCTGACATTGTGGACATACTGTAAATGACTTCCACCTGGCAGCAAAGCAGGATCTTAAGTGCTTGAACCGTAATGTCTAAAAATAAAATCTAGTCATATGCATAAGCATTCATATCACAGTAGTTGGCTTTTAAAGTATAGTGTAGGAAGGTTGCTATTTGAACTAGGGTTTTTTTAATGACTTTCCCCACTGTAATATAGGATATAGGCTTT